TCATTTTTTCTAAAAGTTCATTACTTGAAATATTGGACAGAACTTTTTATTACATGTCTTAAACTTTTGGCTCATACAACATTATATAACTGAGAAAAGAATTATGTATCGAGCATGTTACTTGAATTATTTTGTGCTTATTCGCCCTTTCAAGATTCTTTACTCACCTAAATTTGTATATACACGTGTTTCACGCGATTAATGATTTCAATTTCATTTCCGATGCACTATCACTATTTTTAATACACTTGCAAAGAATCTATTTACACAATACTGACTTTGCAACTTTCGTTCATTCCTCTGAATCATTTCATTTATTCGAAACATATTCTGTACACATTTGGATCTTGAGTCGATCGTATATTAAAAAATCCTGAGATCGAGAATCGTCAGTTGTGTACACAACCCTTTTACCCACCCGCTGGACGATAGCAAGATACGATAAGAACGCACGTGTCGATAAATCGCCAAATAATAATTTGATTCGGTGATCGGGTTTGAATTTTCATGCTGCCGTTGGATATGATCAGCGACGGGATTACCGTTGCCACAGGGCGGTGGCGCTGCGGGGGGCCATGGACAGCCGCAGGCTGGCTCGGCGAGCACCCCGGGCCCCGGCGGTGGCACGGCTGGCAGCGGCGCGAGCAGCACTCTCGGCGCCGCTGGCGGCGGTGCTTCTGGCTCTGGCATCGGCGGCGGTGCTTCTGGCACTGGCACCGGCGCCATCGTTGGAACCGGGGTCGGGTACGGTGTGACCGGTGGAAATACCGGGGGTGGGGCCGGTGGCGGTGCCGCCGGTGGTGGTTCGAATTTGTCCACGGGACCGGCTCGTCGGGGCCGAGGGTGGCGCGACTGGCGCCGCGGCGACCCCACGCTGATCAAAGGACTGTGGAAGTCGAAGGGACCTCTAGGTAATGCTGGTTCTCGTTCGTTATCTATTGGGATCTGACACAGGGGATAGATTCGATAAAGGGTAGAACGGGAGTCGCCGAAGTGGCCCGTCTTAACCCCTTGACATACAAATAAACAGAATTTGATGCGTCCGAAAAATTATTATTCGAAACATATTCTGTATGACAATGTATATTATGCGAAAAA